ATGTTGAACTAGAGTTTGTAGATCTAGGATAAACTTTAGCTCTCTTTCAAGAAACCAGTGTCTTCAAACAGAGAGAAGGACGGAGTTTCCTTCACCCATTCCCTTTGGTGAGGAAGATAAGTAACAGTGCAGCAGAAGACATGAACACATCTGATTATGTGCATTCCAAAATCTTTTGCACATAAGGGCTTTCACAACTGCCACACTGCACAGCATGCTCAGTAGAATAGAAATTCCATTGAGAGAACCTGTTGGGAAAGAGGTAGGGATTGTTTTCACACTTGAGTACATACTATATACACAAATATGTGAGTGCTGACTGCTTTATGTTCTTGCAGGAAAAGTGGTGTACCATTTGCGTTCAGTGAACACAGCGGTTCAAAAGCAAAGCAAAACCCAGGCGGCATCTCTGCTGTTTGCTTTTGTTATTGTTGGGAGTGGAAGGATTTTTTAGTTGGATGAGTTTTTGTTATTGGGATTTTTAAAATTTTTTTTTAAATTATTATTATTCTTTTTATGGTACAGTGGACAAAGGAACTGTGTAATTTACTATCTAATGTACAATTCATACATATTTTCCATCTTCTCAAGTTGTATTTGTTGTCATCCATTCCGTAAGTCCTAACAATCTCTCCAACAGAAACTGCCCTGTTTCCCCACCCTTGCTCTCAGTTTGCCAGAGATATAAATCTTTTCAAAATAGCAGCTCTTCCTCCCCAGAGAATCTATTTATGTGATACAATAATTACAAAAATAAACACATAGCTAATAATGGACTGAATTCTTTTTTTTTTTTTTCCACTCAAACAAGGCAAAAATTCAGCTTTAACCATGCCCAGGGCACTCAGAACAATCACAGCAATCAAGAGTCTGTTTAAATTACTTTAAATATAGCTATTTAACCTTTGAAGACCTTATACTAGGCTTTGACAAACTATTATCAACATTAAATTAACTGTGTTTTCAGCTAGTAAGTAGCCTTTGTTTCAGACATTAATAAATACTTCCATGTTTAAGTTAAGATATACACTCATTTAGAGATATGTAAGAGAGTTTTCAGCTGCTATGAATGATGGATAAATACCATATTGATTGTACTATGTTTGTGAAATGTAAGGAATTTCAGTAGGGAAGTACAGAAAACCTGGTGCTGCCTCTAGTATTGCAGGTTTGTGTACTCTGCTTCTGGTTGCACACTCTGCTGCTCGGACTTTTCCCTAGTCAGCTGCTGCTTGGGCCACACTGAGCCAGCATCCAGTTGTTATGTTCATGAACGCAAATGGTCTCATTGGACACGGCCATTTCATCTCCATTAGAGCATGGCCTGGTTAAACTGACACTGGAATAACCTGTTTTGGAGATGATATTGGTCTGATACTCCATATATGTTTGCATTCAAAAGCACAGAGGTAAAATGTCATTAAAGGGCATCATTTTCTGGAGCAGATGTATCAAGCAGCGAGAGCACACTCTCATTCACTCTTTAGCACATAGAAGAGGAAACACGGCTGGCAAAGCAGTGGAAAAACAAGGAGAAAGGGAAAGCACACGAATATTTTGGTTGGCAAGCAACCTTTTGCACAGAACAGGGTCTTGGCAGACTTCGAACTTTGTAGCAAAAGAGCTTTGGATTTCAGCAAGCTGAACAGCTGGAGTAAGCAGGTGCAGAGAATAACACGCTGCTGGTAGCTCAAGTTCTCCTTCTCATTCCACTGCTATCACAACAGATCACTGAATCTAGTTTGTTTCTTGCTGTTTGTGGTTTGGGGTATTTTCATCCCAGTTGCAGCCATTTGACAAAAATGCAACATGGTTTTCCTTCCCTCCTGTCAATCACAAAGCACTGACAAGGGAGAAGGGAGAACAAAACGGCACTGTAAAAATGTGAAATGGCTACGGCAGTACAGTAGAAGCCCTGAAATTCAGAGCTACAAAAGAGCAATGCAATAGTTCAGGAGAGAATACATTCATTATGTGGACAGTTTTATTTATTTAGCCTCATGTTCTTATATAGTTTTTATTGATCACAGAACAGTTCAGCATACCTGCAGAAATGTTTCCTGCATCCCGCTGGGTATTACTAAAACCCCAGCAATATTTCACACTCATTGGGGTCAAGAGAATTTGTTACGTGTGCTGCCACTGTAATACTGTTTTTAGCAGTACTAGACAGCATTAACGTTTCCACTGATGAATGCATTAAGGGCTTAATAGCTGTAAATTGCAGATTACTAAATACCTATAGATTCGTTTAAAACTCTTCTTGAGTTCAATAACCAAGGATGCCAAACATATCAAGACAGTTTTAATGTCCCTTCAAAAGATTGATCATTGTATTGCTGATTTTTTATAAAGCTTTCAGCGAGACCAAAACAATTCCAAGTTCACAGATAGTTTAAATGTTGATTGCAAGTTCTATGCAGAAGAAAATGCCATACAGAAATAATCTTTCATTCCATGGGATTTCTTTCTGAGGGTTAGGGTGACAGTATGGTACTGTGTTCACACTCCTCCGAACAGAATCTACAGCCATCATTTTCTTGCCACAGAAAGTGGCCTCAATCCAATGCATGGAACTTGACCACGTTATTCACCTGCATCCAACTGTATCTCTTGGTTTAACTGTAAGTTCAGGTTTGTATAATGGACTGCTGGACTGCTGATAGCATGGACTTGTTTCCCTATTCTTGCAACCATGCTTGGCACTAAAGTCAAGGTTGAGAAGTTTCTGTATCCACTAGACACTGGTTGGCCTTGGCCCTCTCCCAGTTACTGTACTGGTCTGTTCCTTTCTTTGCCCTGCTTTCTGTTTTCTACCCTGCTTCTTTGGCCCTTTCTTACTTTTTTAACCCATCCAAAGGAGCAGACTGCTAGCTCCTATTTAGCCATAGTGGACATTCCTTTTTCTCTCTCCTCTATCAGAAAAGCTGTTTATTTTTGTTTCTTGCTTAGTATAGGCATGCTCCTATATAGGCTTTTGGACAAAACTTCTGATGCACAAGTTTGCCTCGAAGTCCTGGGAATTACACTAGTAAGTTAAGATACTCATTAACTGAAAAAAGCATCCTCACTTCTAATCACTGGCCTAATATTAGTGTTTCCAAAAATAACTTCGTTGTCTCCAGTCTTAGTTGCATTCTTCTGGTGCTGTTACCAACTTCAGAACCACTGAACCTGAAATACAAGTGTCACCCACCTCATTAGGTCAGTCTCGTACTTGATGATTGAATGTAAGTTGTTTTTCAACATCAAAAAGATAGGTAGTTTAATAGTTGTCTCTGTTTTGGTTCTCTTAGTAAATTCCGAACCTTGTTCTTCTGCTGTTAAAACAAGCAGCTTATTTGCTCTTTTTTTTTTTTTTTCCCAGCTACCAAACATTACCAGTCTGTTTCTGCTATATGTAGAAACACTGGATTTCCTCATATATTTCTCACCAGTACTTTCTGCTCAAATTCACTGGTTTATTGTAGCTCTCCTTCAATAAAAAAAACAGTGACAAGACATATACTAAGCCAAAAAGGTCTTCAGCTTTCTTCAGAGAAGAATGAGCTCAGAAAAATGTCAACTTTGAGCACTTCTGAGTAGCTCATATTACTTAACGAAGGCTGTTACAAAATGAATGAGATGACCTCTTCCCTTACAAATAGGTCACTTGGATTTACTACCGCCTTGCTCTTCCTCCTGTCTCTTCACTCAGTAAATACAGAGGCACTGTTCAGTGCTACTGCCAACATTTCCCTGAGCTCAAGACAACTTAACAGTTCTTGGCACAGACGCCATTAGGACCAAGTGAGCTGTCTCTTCTCCTGACTGCGTCCCCTCAAGTGTGAGGTTTGATTAACTCTGAAGTACAACATCTGCAATTCTCCTCTACCCTGTATACCCAACACACTCAGACTGGGTAAAACTCTTCCTTTAGTAGCCTTTAAATGTGAATATGTGAACATGATCTTTTTATCAAAATATTGTCCAGAGAAAAAAGCAAAATTCAACAGTCAAGGCAAAAGATAAATCAAAAGGATTTGCTATTCCCCAAGCACTATAAGGACTATATGGGTATCCAGCTTGGCAAAGCTCTACTATCATAAAACCCCCAGAACATATTCTTCCCATCTTCTGGAGCCTTTCAGGCAGATACTTGTTCAGTGCAAATAACTCCCAGATCTCAGTAGAAAAATGTCCTTGTCAATTTAGATTGTTTTCTGGTTCATTTCCTAGAGTTTTTGACCTTGCTAGTAAAAAATGATTCGGTGAGTTCTTCAATTAATAGGTCTTAACCTTCTATGGAGAGCTTTTGCGCTTCATACCAAGCTACAAGGACTTTCCTAAGTGACTGTCCTATCTTCTTCTTTTCTGATGCAATGTCAACACACTGCAAACAAACTAAAGCAATATAATCTGCTGTGACTATGCTAATAACCAAGCCCAGATCCTCAAATGTTTTCAACCTTACCAAAGCCCTATCAAAAATAGATGCCCAGATAATTACAAAAGTCTGGGTCCACATTGCATGCCATACATACAAATCACCACAGACCGGCTGTGTCCCTTGCAAGAATGGGATAGAAGGAAGAAGTTAGGAAATACGTATTCAAACTTGTATTACAGGAAGACAAAAATCTGACCACAACTAGACTGAATAACTGGTCCTTCCTAAGTCACCAAACAAAAAAATAACATGGTAGAAATAAAAAATATTATTAAAGATGAGGAAAAAGCAGGCTGAGGAAGAAAGCAGACACCAGTATGTGTATGCCTGTGCTGTACGGTTGGCAGCTGAAAATTCCAAAATGAAACAAAGGAGCTGTTGCCACCATTTGGTTTCATATAAGACAGTGGGAGAAGAAAGAGTTATGTGGCTGTGGGAGGGCTCTCAGGTGGCAACTGAAGAGGAAGTAGCAGGGCTGCACTGAGAGACAGCTGACTAGAGGATAGGAAAATAGATTTAGGGAAGGAGTGGGCAGAGCTCTCAGACACACGGTCATATTTTTGGGTGATCCTGTGTGGAGCCAGCAGTTGGGCTCAAGATCCTTTCCTCAATGATTCTTATGAGGAGCAGCTGAAGGAACTGGGATTGTTTAGTCTGTAGGAGGCTCAGGGTAGACCTTACTGCACTCTACAACTACCTGAAAGGGGACTGGAGTGAGGTAGGTGTCAGCCTCTTCTCCCAGGTAACTCTGATAGGATGAGAGGGAACGCCTTTAAGTTGCATCAGTGGAAGTTCAAGTTAGCAATTAGGAAAAAAATTATTCTCAGAAAAGGTGGTGAGGCACTGGCACAGGCTGTCTAGGGAGGTGGTTGAGTCACAGCCCTTGGAGGTGCTGAAGAACCATGTAGACATGGCACTGAGGAAAGTGGTTAGTGGGCATGGTGGGGGTGGGTTGATGGTTGGAGCAGATGATCTTTGTGGTCTTTTTCAGCTTTAATGGTTCTGTGACCCTTGTGGGTCCCTTCCAACTCAGGATATTCTGATTCCATCCATGATCTGATGGGAGCTGGCAGGGCAGAGAAAGATCATCAAATGGGAGAAATCCATGCAGTTGTAAGTGATTCTGAGGTCCCTACTTATAAATCGTTCCTTCAATGGATCTTCCCGATCCAAGAAACTGAAACGAGCCCACCCCGCGCTGCTGTCCCCGACCATGCAATCATGGCTGCCCCCTCCCATCCCGTACTGCAAATGCAGCATGACGATTTTACTCAGAGTTTTTGGGCACGATAAGATTCACACATGAAAACCACATGTTTTTAACACCACGCTGTTATTTTCCTCGCACCATCTGCAGGATTTATTAACGCCGAGACAGAAAGAGCCTGAAAGATCGCGGTGCCGAGGAGCGGTGACGGCACTGACTGCGGTCAGAGCTTGGGGACACGCTTCCCACCGCATGCCACCAACGTCCTTTCACACGGAACCAGCCAACGCCGTTCTCGGGGAAGGGAAAAACAATCACGGCGTGCCCTCACCGCCGCGGACCGCAGGCAGCGAGACGGGCGCCATGTTGCCCCCGGGCGCGGCGCCAGGCGCCAACCGCCCGCGCAGGATCGGGGGCGAGAGCAGCGTGGCTGAGGGGGGAAGCGCGGGGCAGCGGCACGGGCGGCCCCGCAAGGAAAGGGAAATGGCGCGGCCGGAGCCCGGGGACGGGACGGAGCCGGACGACGGGACGGCGCCCTCAGCCCTCCGCGGAGGAACCGCCCCCTCCCCGCCCGGCCTTCTCTGGCCGGTGGCCTGCTTGGAAATCATGGAACGGCTGTGCTGAAAAGGACCACAATGATCATCCAGTTTCAACCCCCCTGCTGTGTGCAGGGTCACCAACCACCAGACCAGGCTGCCCAGGACCACATCCAGCCTGGCCTTGAATGCCTCCAGGGATGGGGGCATCCACAGCCTCCTTGGGCAACCTGTTCCAGTGTGTCATCACCCTCTGAGTGAAAAACTTCCTCCTAATATCTAACCTAAGCCTCCCCTGTCTCAGTTTAAAACCATTCCCCCTTGTCCTATCACTATCCACCCTCATAAACAGCCGTTCCCCCTCCTGTTTAAATGCTCCCTTCATGTACTGGAAGGCCACAATGAGGTCTCCCCAGAGCCTTCTCTTCTCCAAGCTAAATCTTTATATGCAATCACTTTTCCTCTCTGAAACACAACAGGCATTTTCTGTGGTAATGTGTCTCCATGCAGTGCAAGTCCCTTCGTACACCCTTCTTTTTCAGGAAACCCCCTTCCACATCACTTTGTATTTGTGTACACTTAATCCTGTAAAGGGAACATGTTTGACTTCCTTTGAATAGACTCCTCTGGCACAGTGTTAAAGACGGGAGTCTTGCTGTTTTTCTAATTAAGAGCCAACCTTCAGCATGTTGAAAGATGCGTGGTTACAAGCCTGGACAGACAGCAAGCTAGTGCAGTCAGCAGCTAGTTGATGGCAGTAGGTCGCATTGTGCTAACTGCTTTCCTACCATACCCTGCCATGTGTAGCAGCTTATCCTTTCACTGAGGGGTAAGCAACCTCAAATTACCCCATCCACACTATGGCTCAAGTCCTGGCCTAAGCACTACAATCCTGTAATTGCATATTGTGCTAAGAAGTGCTACTTTTTATCCATTTTTAATTCGCTACCTTGCAATTTCACTGGATGTCTCTCTAGTATTGTGTCGAGGAAAGGAACAAAGCTGTCTCAAAGCTTTTTACCTATCTTCACTTGCACTGTTCTTGGCTTTAAATGCTATTATCATGCTCTCTTTTAAACGTCTGCTTTGTAAAATTAACAATCCCAATAATTTCAATCTATTTGTGCGTGTTTTTTCTTTACTCCTAACGTTCTTGTTGTTTTCCTCTCAATAAACCACTGTTTGCCATGACACAGTCACATTTGCAACCTGTATTATATAGGATACTAAGCTCTTGTCTAGATAATTAGTCCATAGTAATTCTGGGGGGACATTTTTCTCTTTCTCACTCTCTCATGCATCACAAAGTCGGGTTTTGCTTCTGAGTATAGCTGTGTACTAAAAAAGGCTTACGTCTGAGCCATCCCTTCTGGTGAATGGGTGCCCTTCCTGAGTAAGAATCCTGAAAAATTCAGTTTTCTCTCACACATGCATTATATACTGATGTTGAACTGAGTCTGCCAGTGTGTTATTTATTTACCTGGCTGGGTTAAGTCCTAATGTTCCTGAGAGTCTTTTCAGGACTTGAGTAGCCTGAGTGGCCATCACTGTATGTGGCTCATAGCCGAGTTTGTAACTTGAGGAACTCTTTAAACCAGCATAAGATTTCACTATTCCCCAGCTGCTCGTTCTCTGCTTTATAGAGATTTCATACATGTTTGTGTGGCTGTGCCATGAACCAAGTTTTGGAACAGATTGATCTGTAGGCTAACACACTGATTGACCTGACTTAGAGTCTGAGTGTGTAGCTTTGGAAACAACAGTGTACATGAAAGAGTAGCAGCAGGACAGGGAAGGAAATGAACTGTAGAGCATGGAGGAGTTTGGAAACTCTTTCTTTCATTAGCAATATTGTCTCATATCATTAAGAAAGACTTGGTGAATTACAGCAGCTTTTAAGAATGACAGATTGTGGTTTCGGTAGAACAAGCTTTGTGCAGAAGTTTCTGTCTGTGCTATAAATGAACACATTGACAGCACTCAAGATGAGCACCTCACATGGACCTCACCACCCCCAGAGTGACTTGCTGTGCGTGCCTCTCTGCACCATAGGATTCTTCGGTCTGCAGTGCAGTCAGGAAAGGAATTTCAAGAACTTTCATCCAAACTGGGTTGGATCCAAGTTGACACTAGAAGTTGAAAAGCAGAGTTCGGATGCTGCATTGAAAGTTAAATTCAATTGGTTTGATATATATCAAATGTCAGATATATAGCTGAGGCTATCAGAGGCTTCCAACAATAGGCATATGAAGAATCATTAGCCTTGAAAACCTATAGGGTGAGATCACAAACACACAATCCAATTAATCACATGGGTTGGTTTTGGAAAAGCTGATGTACTATAACATCAATTTGTTTTTACTCTGACAGGCCAATTGGATCAGTGGCAGATCTTCTGTGGGGTAAAAGATTTTGCTTTCAATATATGTTCTTTCCTGAACAGCTTCTCTGCAGCTTTATTATATCAAACACCTTTGGTCTACTTTGGGATTACAAATGGAATATCTAAAATAGGCAAAACTGCTAAAGAAGAATTGTTGCAAGATCATTTCAAGATGCAGACTTAGCATTGAAAATTCTCGCAGTAAAGTTGCATTACATGATTTAAGTTGAATTGTTCCCCAGTCACTTTGAAATATTTCTAGTTCGTTCTTATAACCCCAGCTTTAATCACATCTTCTGAGAAAGTATTCCCTAATCCATATCTTTTGGAGAAAGACTTCAGAGCTAACATGATCTTATTACCTCTTCTAAAATCTTGACTAGAATTGTCTAATCAGAGACATAGTAATAAAGTTGGGAAGTATGATACAGCTGGAGAACCTTGTTTTTTTTAATGACTATTAGAGTACTTCAGCTGCTATGAACTGATTTGATTACAAAAGCCTTCCCTGCAGTAATGTGTGAAATATTTGTAATGCAATCATCAGACTTATTAATGCAATAATGAAAATAATAAAATGCAATTAAAACAAAGAAGACTTGATGCCAATCTACATCAAGCAAAAAGATGATATGGCTACTTTCTTTTGTTGTTTTAAGAGAGGTGAAAGTGATATTTTATGTTTTGTGCCATCTATTCATTTGTCAGGCTTACCCTGGTCTTGCCACTGCTGTTAGAAAGTATGGCAGTTAACCTGAGTAAGTTCTTTCTTCCTTCCTGTGCTCTGTTTCTCTTTTATTCTCCACATATTGCACATCAGAATTTCAAATGTAACCATTTTTTTAATTTTTTTTTCCCCCTCAGGTTGCCTCTGTACTTCATTAAATAAAGAAAAGAGAAAAAAAGTGCAGCAGAATCTCAACACTATTGTCTTAATTAGATCACTTTTGGATAGGAAATGTTGCTTTGATTGCAAAGCTCTCTCATATTTCCTTCCTTCCTTCCTTCCTTCCTTCCTTCCTTCCTTCCTTCCTTCCTTCCTTCCTTCCTTCCTTTCCTCCTCTCTTTCTTCCTTCCTTCCTTTCTTTCCTCCTCTCTTTCTTCCTCTCTTTCTCTCTTTCTTTCTTTCTTCCTCTGTTCCTCTCTTCCTCCCTTCCTCCCTTCCTCTCTGTCTTCCTGTCATTCTGTCTTTCTTTTCCTCAATGATGGTTTCTGCTGCTGTAAACCAAGAGAGTGATAATTAATGTCTCCTGCTGTTTATGCCTGCTGACATCTACAATGATGAGCTGTTATTATTCTGTCTGCTAATACTTGGGAAGGATACCACCTTGGATGACTAATCTAGAATGCAGCAGGTAAAGGTCATCATCACAAATGCCTGAAATGGAAACATTGTTATGGATTCTAGAAATGAAAGCTATTCATTTTATTGAGTTCATCCAGTTCATCTAGCAAGATCACTTTTGCACATGCTCTAACATTTCACATGAGAGCCAGGATGCTATAAGTATTAAGTCTGTGATATACCTTGAAAAACTATTTCATATTTATGGTGCTAGGCAGACCTGATCTTCAAATGTGGTCCAGTTTGATGGACAGCAAAGCACTCATCTCCCTGCTCAGGTCCATGTACTGGCCTGGAGTCAGTCAGAAGGAGCTGTTAGAGTAGGTAGTTTTCCTGAGAATAACTAAATTACAAAACAGTGCAGAATAAAAAACTATGCTCATCTCTGTTCCCATGGGCTGAACAAAAAGAGGAGCAAATAAGCTAGGGTTTGGGCTGTGGGTTTGGTTGTGGGGATTTTTTTATTTTTTTTTCTATTTATTTTTTTCTTCTTTCTCTTTCATTTGAGGAGTTGAAGTTTTGAGAAAAAGAAGTCCCATGTCTGGAAAAACTCTGTCAAGCTGCAATTGTGAATGTCCAGATGATTTCTTCATGGGGACGCGCTTGTCAAACAAATGCAGCTTTTTCACTGCTACTCTCTCATGTTTTCTTGTGGAAATGCAGGTGACCTGTGCCACTGGAGAGCTCCTAACATCTGGGATTCTTCTCTCCTGAGGTGTGTGTGTCTGTCTTAAAAGCCATACTGCTCCAAACAAATGTTACAGAAGCCACCCATCTGGCAGTCCTCCTATAGCAGGACCGCTCTGTCCTCCTCACAAAAAGTTTCTTTACCATTTCACATTGCCTTCACCTCGCACAGAAAAACTGCCTGTACACTATTGCTTGACAACCCATTGCAGTCAATACTTAGTGCTAATCAAGTGCTGGTCACTAGCAGAAAGTTGCACCAGTGATTCTTTCTGATTAAAAGCCAGAAGTAAAAAGCAACAGCATTTGAGTATTTCAAATACATTTTAATTCTGACTATGAGACTTTCCAGTCTGATGGTCTGTGGAGCCTTCTGACTTCTCCCCAGAT